GTTAACAGTCTAATTAGTTTTTCTCTCGAATTACTTTTTTCGTAAGGTTTAAGAAATTCAACCAATGGACAATATTTCGTTATAAAAATGTTAGTTAAACAAAAATGGAAAAAAGGTAAGGTTACATACCTCCGCTCTTTCCCACAATTTCTCACTCTTCATTTTACGCATGCTAAGAACAACGAGTTTCTTTAGATTCAAGATATCGGGGAATTGGTCAATTGATGTTTCATCTAGAATGAGCACTTCAATGTTACTTGAGATATCAGGAAATACCCTCAACTGTGAGCATCCACCAAGGTCAAGCGTACGAAGAGATTGGAGGTTAATTCCGGAGGGCAAAGTCTTCACATTTATGCATCCTTCCATATCCAATATCTCTAGATTGTTGAGATACTGAATAGAGGAAGGAAGATCCACCAAACTTGAGCAATCCAAAAGATCAAGTTCTTTGAGATTTGTGGCCATCGAAAGATCTGAAATTTCTTTCAAATTTTTTGATTCGGACAAGTGTATGTTCTTGAGCCCTGTAAGTGACTGAAGTATAGGTAAGTTATACATCATGTGAAAGGATTGTCATCTACAAAATAAAAATGCATATTCAAATATCGATACTAATTACAGTTTTATCAAAAACTTACATGAATTCCTTCCCACAGCTTTTCGAGTCTGCTCCCTGCCATTTGGAGCTCAACGAGGTTTCCAGGGCGAAATCCAGAAGGTAGACATCTCATTGGGTATCTGTCCCAACTCAATAATCTAAGTTTAGGGGGGAAATATTCCAAGCCTTCCCCTAACTGCCATCCAACTTCTTTCTTTGTGTCCCTTTTATTAGTATAAATTTTTAGGAAACGGAGATTGCGCATCCCTTTGAAGGCTTCCTTATGTATTTGCAACTCATCAGCCTCCTCTATATCCAGTGATACACCTAGAACTTTATTAGTACCCTAAAAATATAAGAATTTCTTATTATGTTATCAAGAAACTTTCATTCTTATAGGGAGAGTTGTGGAAGTAGAAAGAAGAATCTTACAATGTTATCTTCAAGTACATCGCAAATGTCCTTTGAATCCATCAGGAATTCTCGTTCTCCAGGCTCATCAGATTGTGCACGGACAATTTCTTTTCCCATTTCTTGTACCAAACAGTGCATCTCCACCATATGCATATGCCATGATGGTATTACACGTATGAGAGACTTATCAACTAGAATTTTAAGACCTATGTTAACATTCAACTCACTATCTGCAAGCATCCACTTGATCTTATTTATATCTTCACCGTTGAAAAAACATGCGATGTGACGAAATATCGCTTTATGTTCTTTTCTATCTAACCCATCATAACTGACTCTTAGTGCTTTCTCAATTTTTCCATCGAGACCTTTTCGAAGACTTGGCAGCATATCTAACCAATATACTTGTCTCTCCCCCTCAAAGCGGAACCTAGAAGGTAAAGACCCAAAGGAAGACCACCTGCACGGATTACAACTTCTGAAGCAAGCTCCATGAAACCATCAGGCGGATAATGTTGCCCGAAAGTAGATCGACAAAATATCTCAAGTGTCAGCTTTTCAGATGGGATATCCATCTCGTAGATACATTTAATCCCATGTCCCCTCAGAAGATGCTTATCTTTTGTAATCACAATGATTCTGCTTCCGGGACCAAACAGTTGATTCCGACCCACCAAGGTATCTAGAACCATTTGATCATCCAAATCATCAACAACGACAAAAACTCTTCGGTGCATTAGTCTCTCTCCAACCTTGTCTAAATCATCTACATTAATGTTCTTTTTACCTAAAAGTTTAGATAGAAAAGTTCCTTGCAAATACAACTTCATATTGTAGTCGTCCGGGTTGGCTCCGCGGTAATATTCTCTAATCTCCAACTTTCCTCACATCCTTGGCTTCCAAGCTCAACATTAAACTCATCTTTGAGATATGATCTTCGATTCCGACAAAGTCAGTTTGGG